CAGAATCCAAAGGATTATTGTCAATATTTATCTTACTTGGCTGTTCTTCACTATGTGACCGTGGGTGTCACCTACTTATGTAAACTACTTTCTTCCTTTCTGTGATCACATTCCACTAGTTTTCTTCCACCTTTTTTGGTTGTTACTTCTCAGCTCCTTCCTTAGGTTTTCTCTTCCTTTGTCTATCTCTTCTAGAGTTTAATCCTTGACCCTCCTATTTTATCAATCTACATAAAGTCCCTGGTCATCTTATCAAAGTTCTATGGTTTCTATGACCCACATTTCTTAACTACTCCAAAGCCTTTATCTCTAGTCTACACCACTCTGCCAAGCTCCCAATCCATATATGAACTACTACTCCCTTCACATCATCCCAAGACCAAAATCTGTTCCTACCCATATTTCCTTCGTCAACTAAGACAAGTCATAAACTTCAATGACATCTTCCCCATCTCCCTAACCCACCCCATTGCACACATTAAATTATACACTAAACAACATCATTCTACATTCTTAATACTTCAAAGTTGTCTTCTTTATTCCATTGGTCCACTTTAGTTCAAGCCACCCAATTTGTCTCAGTTTAATTACTGAAACAATTTCCTACAATGGCCTCCCTGCTTTTGACTTTGATCCATTTAAACCAGTTTCTAAGCTTTGGCACTACTGACATTTGGGGCTGGATATTTGTTTGTTGTAGGAGGCTGTCTCGTGCACTGTACAATGTTTGGTGTTACTGGCCTTTACCGAGTAGATGTCAGCAGGATCTCCCCATCCCACTGCAGGATAATAAGGATGTGTCCAGTCATTGCCAATACCCCCTGGTGGGCAAACTCATTCCTAACTGCTTTAAAACCCTGCTCCAAATATAGGGATGAATTGTTTTTTCTAAAATGCAAATCTGACCGATCTCTCTCTTGCTTAAAATTCTACAATCATTTTCCACTGTCCCAGGAAAATAATCCAAATCCTTTAGTTTGGTTTGTAAGGCTCTCATAGTGTGACCCCTGCTAACTCTTTACCTTAACTGTGGGTCAGTCCAACTCAAGTAAAGCTACCAAAGAAAAGCACACAATCACCCAGTGGCTCTACTACAAACTCCTGCATGTTCTACCTCTGGAGTACCTTTCTAGGCTCTTCTTCAACATTCATCCTTTTTTTTTAAATTCTCTCAATGTTCTATGCTCCCTCTCATAATCAACTTTGGCCCATGCTGCTCCCGAAGTCTGGAATGCCCTTCCCTTCTCCCACCCATGTCTAGCTTAAATGACCCATGCTTTAGGAATTGCTTCTTGATATTCCTGACCCCACAATACATATCCTACTTTTGTCAGCAAGGATGGGTAGATACTCTCACCTGTGCTCCCACCTACATTTTGTGGTTCGATAGCCTGGCTCCTTGTCTATGGTCTTATACCCTGTTATATCCCAATAAAGCCTGTCACAAAGGTGGAGCTAAAACGTATTTTTAGAAAAGGGGAGGAAGTGAGGAAGGCCTGAACAACATGCAAACTGATGCGTGATGCACTCACGTGGTGAGTCATAGGTTCCATGACATTGAGATCAACTTGGTTATATCAGTTCTTCAGGGAGATGACAACATGACAGGCTGTCTTCATAATGAGACTCAGTATTTTCTACTGTCACAGTAGGTGGCAGGTTCATTTGCCATCACAGTTTTCTAGACACTGATATTACATAAAATTATTATGGGCACCATCAGTAGAACTGACTTCAGTAAACTCTTCATATAAAATGTTGGGGAGTCATTGTACATTTTATCACTAGGATTTAACGGAAGACTCAAATTAGGAGGGAGACTAATATGAACTTCACTTTGGAAGCCAGATTAAAAATAATGAAGATTTCATCAGACCATCTGAGAAAAAACATTATTCACTGATGATAGAAAAATAAAAATAAAAATAAAAAATAAAAGAGAGAGGCTTCCATCTTCCTCTAAAATAAATTACCTAACCAAGAACTGAATAAAACCTTCTAAACTCAGTATTGTCAGAAATAAAAGTTGGCTGGTCCAAAGACTCAAAACTATAAAGAATAAAGCTGAAAACTCCTTATTTTATCATATAAGCTCTTATTAGCATCATTAACAAACAAAAAGTCAGCCTGCTTTTAATGAGACTGTAGCTTTCATTGATAGATAATATGTGCTATATCTTGACAAATGTCAAATCAGTATGATGGCTACCTAGAGGTTTGTTGTATTAAACTCTATTATTTGAATTTTTTCTGAATAAGTACTAAAGGTCTGCTTATATAAAAAAAATATTAGAAACAAAAAAATAAAAATGAAATAAAAAATAAAATATTAGAAATCAAATCTCATACACACCCTATATAATAAAAGCATAATATGAAAATCAACTGAATGACAGAATGATGGGGGCAGGGCCAGTGAGCAGGCTGTGTCAGGTCTGTCAAGGCAAGTGCCAGCAGGCAGAAGGGGATGAGGGGATGGTGATTTTGGGAAGGGGAGTTGGAAGGGTGGGAGTAGGGGTGACCAGTGGCAGAGGTGCAATGATGGAGGCCGGGGGGGGGGGGGGGGGAGGGGAGGAGGACAGGGCCAGCCATTCACCAGCCAGCACCATCCCCTGATTGGCCTGCTTGATTACCTCCTACAGAGGAGTAGTCCTAAGCCATCAGTCGGACATCCCCTGAGGGCTCCTGGACTGCGAGACAGTGCAGTCCAGGCTGAAGGACCCCTTCCCTGAGTGCACAACTTTTTATGCACCAGGCTTCTAGCATTTAACCTGTTAACCGGGGAGTTCCCTTTTTAATTACGCTACATACAACGGGCGCATACTCTTTCACTAGGACGTGTCAATACATCACACCCAGCGGACGTAATTTTATATTATTATTATTTTTTATTTATACTTAATTAAAATAAATGAAATATATATTTTTTCATTTATTTATATATAAAGCACAAAGGAAAATACAAAATTACAAACAAATAGAAAAGAATACCAACAAAAAAATGGAAACATCGAATTAAAAAATTATAAATTTTTACAAACAATTATAAAGATTACAGCCGAAGCCGGTTTGGCTCAGCAGTAGAGCGTCGGTCTGTGGACTGAAAGGTCTCAGGTTCGATTCCGGCCAAGGGCATGTACATTGGTTGTGGGCACATCCCTGGTGGAGGGTGTGCAGGAGGCAGCTGGCCAATGTTTCTCTCTCATCGATGTTTCTAGCTCTCTATCTCTTTCCCTTCCTCTCTGTAAGAAAATCAATAAAATATATTTAAAAAAAAAATTACAAAAAATATATACTGTCCCTCTCAGGGCGCAACATATATTTCAAGGACGTATTCATATGTCCTACCCGTTCCCGATAGTGTTTATGTTTGATGTATTTATAGGTCCTGCTCGGTTACCAGGTTAATAAAAATATTTCAGAAAATCACATATTTTAGGTACTACTTGTTATTAAAAACACATTCCTCAGTACAATTTGTGATATCATTACATATAATAAACTGCAAATGTTTACTATTAACAACCATTAATCTATTAATCTGTTGTAAAAATAATGAATATATCTATCACTTTCCCCAGTTTCCTTATTCCTATATGTAATCCCTCCATCCTGCCTCTTCCAATTGGTCTTCTATCCTCACAAATACTGATGTATTTTGTTATTATACATTTGTAAATAAATAAATAAACAAACATCACAACAAACAGATTAATTTAGACAATACCTTTATGTTTTTGTAATAGGCTTTACTTTTAGGTTAAGTGCACACTAAGCAATCCAATGGGTCATTTCCAACCTAAGTTGAATAATAAATTGAGATTTTTAAATCTACAACATAAACTTCGGCTAAACAGAAAATTTGCAGGTATGTTTTGCATGGTCCTTCAAACAAAATAAGCAAACGACTATAGGCAAGATAGTGTAATTGTTTAAAAAGAAATTTGTGCTGTGGCAGCACAGCCAGGTTCGGTGAGCCTGAGAGGGGGCGGTGAAGGATTAAGAAAAGACAGACAAGAGAAGAAAGCTGGGTGGGACGCTGCCCCCTCTGATGGAGAGGCAGAGCCACTGCCTGCAAGCAAAGCCTTTATTTTATAGTCAGATTCCAAGAGGCAAAGTAAGAGTGTGGTTACAGCATTTTTTCGGGTTTCTAATATACTCAATTACATGCACCTGATCAAGCTTTGTTTACTTGCTACACCTCCCACAGCCTGTATCACTTAGCCATGTGGGACCACAGGTTCCTACCAGAAGGTCAAGCTTATAACTATAGCCTCTGGCTATAACTGTGGTGGGACTTACGCATGGCTTTGCCATGGGAGGATCGTGCCCTCTCATTAGTCCCAGGCTTGAACCTGTCCAAACGCTGTAGCTACTCTCCACAGAAATTAAACACTTCAGAGAGTTATAATTCAACATAAAAGTCTGAGCGAACAAAGCATATCAACAAAACTGAATAGCTCCCCTATTCCTCTGCAATGCTGACTAAGCCAAAATGTGCAGCTCGGAACCTTGAAAGGGGCACGTTTCTAGGCATGTGCTGAGGAGAATGACATCTATCACTGCATTACAATGTGGTAAGCCAAGGGTGAGGAACCTTTTTTTTTTTTGTCAAGGGCATCTGGGTATTTATAACATCATTCAGGGGCCATACAAAATTATCAACTTAAAAATTAGCCTGCTCTATTTGGTCAAACACTTAATTAACTCACCCCTAATGCCTTGGCAGGGCCAGACCAAATGATTTCTTGGGCCTTATGCGGCCGGGGGGGACGTTCCTCACCTCTATAAGTAACGCCTTGCATTTACTTACAGAACATCTCTCTTACTCCCTGAGAAAGCTGAAGGAGAGAGCTGAGAGACCGGATCAAAGCAAAGCAAGAGGAAAACACAGCAGCAGTGAAAATTAATATAATTAAACATTTGTGCTTCACTATCATCTCTAAGACTACAAAAGTCTTAGAGACCAACGAGAGGGTTCAGATTAGAAACTGTCTCACCTGCAAAAGAACTCCCACAAGTCTAGGTTTTGAATTCTCTGGATTCTTTTAATTCTGTTGCGATCCATTGTTTTCCCAAAGAGACTAGCGACTTCATTATATTCATGTGTTTGATTGTGCAAAGGAACAAGCTGGAAAATAGAGTTGAACAGTTTTGTTGAAGTCCTGTTCCATCTCTAGCACAGGACAGTCAGTCAGTTCTGCTCTTACCTGATAGGGCACGTCAGTATTCACATTCTCCCAATGTGGTGGCATGGGGATAGACTCATTTTCACAGATATAACTTTAAATAGCAAAAGACAAAACAAAATATTAGGATCTGATAATAATTACTGTGACTTAGACTTTTCTTCAATGCTGAATTTTCATGTTTGGGATACTGTGATAAATGCAATTAAGTGTAATCCTTGCTTTCTTTATTTTAAAATATTTATTGAATATCTTCTTGAGTATTACCTTTTTAGGTGCTGAATTGAGAACTTTAATGGAAAATATCCAACCCTACACAACATTAAAATTTCAAGAATAATTGTTTCATTTTGTCTTATTTTTCTGAAATTTTCATAATTTCTTTAAAATGTAAGGAAGATTTTAGCTGAAGAAAAGAAATTTCCAAGAAGAAAATGAAAACCTTGATTTAAGCCGAACCGGTTTGGCTCAGTGGTAGAGCTTCAGTCTGCGGACTGAAAGGTCCAAGGTTTGATTCCAGTCAGGGGCATGTACATTAGTTGCGGGCACATCCCAGTAGGGGGTGTGCAAGAGGCAGCTGGTCAGTGTTTCTCTCATCTATGTTTCTAGCTCTTTATCTCTCTCCCTTGCTCTCTGTAAAAAATCAATAATATATATATATATATATATATATTCTTTAAAAAAAAAAAGAAAGAATACCTTGATTTAAAAAAAACTTAAGATATTTATTCTGCCTATTATATAAAATCCCAACCTTTCAGCCTTACATTCAATGTCTTTCAAGATCTAACTCAAATCTAAACTTTTCTGTTTATTGCCCACTATTCCTCCTACACAGTTCACATTAATTCAGTTAATATAGTCAGTCAGTACAACTTTTTAAAAACTGTCTACCATGTTTAACCAGGAAGCTCCCTTTTTAATTAAGCAACGTATAACGGGCGCGTACTCTTTCACTAGGACATGTCAGTACATCACACCCGATGGACGTAATTTCATATTATTATTTTTTTTATTTATACTTAATTAAAATAAATGAAATATATATTTTTTCGTTTATTTATATATAAAGCACAAAGGAAAATACAAAATTACAAACAAATAGAAAAGAATACCAACAAAAAAAATGGAAACATCGAATTAAAAAATTATAAATTTTACAAACAATTATAAAGATTCAAAAAATATATACTGTCCGTTTCAGGGTGCAACATATATTTCAAGGACGTATTCATGTCCTCCTTGTTCCAGATATTATTTACGTTTGACGTATTTATAAGTCCCGCTCGGTTAGCAGGTTAAGCCACTGGATGTGAACACAGAAAAAGAGAGCAATCTTGGGGAGCTCAGTGGCAACAGGCTGACACTGACATTTAACCCTCTGTGGTGACTGCAGGTCACTGGAAGAAATAAATTTCAAGCCTATCTTCAGCTTAACTTTTAAAAACTCATTTCAACTTTGAAAAGATCATACAATGACATGACTTAAAAATTAGTAAGTTGCCTTAACCGGTTTGGCTCAGTGGATAGAGCCAAACGGACTGAAAGGTTCCAAGTTTGATTCCAGTCAAGGTTATGTACAGGTTGCAGGCACATCCCCAGTAGGGGGTGTGCAGGAGGCAGCTGAATCGGGGTATCTCTCATCAGTGTTTCTAACTTTCTATCCCTCTCCCTTACACTCTGTAAAAAAATCAATAAATTATATATATTTTTAAATTAAGTAGATAGAGAATAGTTTCCCTCCCACTCCAGTCCTTAGACTGTCCAATTCTCACCTCTCGCCCCAACTTCAAGTAATATTGTTTTCAGTCTCTTGGGTATTATTCTAGAACTTCTGTAGGTTAACACAAGCCAATCTTTCCCCAAACAGAAATGGTAACTTAAAACATGTGTCTTTTGCAGCTTTTATTTTTCACTTACCACATTCTTAGATATCTTTCTGCATCAGTAGATAGAGAGTACCCTTGTTCCCAGTCCCTACCATAGAGTTTGGCACATGATAGACACTCCAGAAATACCAGTTAAATGCAAAGATACACAGAATTCCATGGTATGGAGACACCATAATCTATTTAACAAGTCCCCTATTGAAGATCTTCAGTTCTTTCAACTTTTTGCTACTGTTAAGAATGTTACAAAGAACTAGTTCAACTATTTGTCATTGTACATGTCCTCTAGTCAATTTTTAGGATGACATTTTTGAAATGGAATTTCTTAATCAAAGAATATATTCATGATTTTGACAGATGTTGACCAAACCTTTCCTTTAGGTTGTACTCATTGACATTCACACCAGAAAATTGACATATAGAGAATGTCTATTTTCCAATCTTATCAAAAAGGTGTGTTATTAAACTTTTAAATTTTTGTCAATCTAATAGTAAAAAATAGTCTGATGTAATTTGTATTTCTCTTATTATGAGTGAGGTTGTATGAACTGTTCAAATTTTTTGCTCAGTTTTTTTAACGAGTTGTTGGTCTTCTACTTAAAGATTCATAGAAGTATTTCATATACTACAGAGATAAACCCTTAGACTGTGATAATGAGTAACAATAGTTTACCCAGTTTTTATGAAGATTTTGTCTTAAGTTTCTTTTAGCTATGGAAAAGTTTTTTGTTTTGTTTTTATGTAGCCCATTGCCTTAGTTAACTGTTAATTCTTTTCCAATGGAAAATATATACTATTCACCTTGCATGTAATATTTCCTGTAATAAATAAATATTTCTATATCAGCACATACTCACCACTCCTTCTGTAGCCCACCTAACTGTTCTTCATCTTTTAATATCTTATTAGCCTCCATTCTGGTGCACTGTCTCCCTCTCCTGTCTCTTTCCTATGGTGTGTGCATCTGTGAGAGAACAAAGCGCTGGACCCCCTCATGTGCTTCTCCTCACCAAAATATACCAGATACAATAATGTGCAATTACAATATCATTTCCCACTATTATGTCTCATATTTCTCCCAGATTACATACTCTTTGAAGATAAGTAATTCCTATACTTAAGAATGATATGATATAGTTTATAAGAAAATAGTTTTCTCTACATTCCACGGAAGAACTGGGACATTCATTACTTAAATAATATTGAAATCATGATGCTAAAATGTAAGCCAAAATCTCATAAAACAAACTAATAGAAACTTAAAATTTTTTATTTTTTATTCTAATCCTTTCAAAATATCTCCTTGGAAGGAGCAAATGGGTATCCCTTAAAATTCATATGCTAGCTCTTTTTTTTTTTTTTTCCTGTTTCATTATAAATTCTTTGAACAGAAAGAATTTCAATACTTGCTGGAGAAATTGTTCTAGAAAATAGGAGACAAAGTGTAAGGTTTTACCCCTTTGATTTCATTAGATAAAATGGAATATTTTATCTAAAATAGTTTTCTCTTCTGCTATTTATTCCTCTTTTCAGGCTCTATAAATCCAGAGACAGAAAAAGAAAACTCGCAGTGGGCACAAGTAGCAGCACTCCTGTCCCTGCTCTCCCACCTTCCCAGGTCTCCTTTAGTCACTGCAGCTCTGAAATTACTTCCAGGAGTGGCCCAGTGGAGAAGAGCAGTATTTACTTGGCATTTATAGCCCAATTAACTTGGTGGTTCTGTGAGGAAAGGAAACAATGGCATAAAATAATAATATTGCTATTTCATCAAGTAAGGTGCAATTCAGTACTGAAAGGATCAATATTAAGATCATTAAGTGACCTACCAACCATTTTCAGTCTATTTCTTCCTCTGTCAAATATTAAGAAAGAGAAGAGAGAGGAAAAGCCCAATGTTTCTACCCCTATTCTCGTTACCGTACCTGAAAGCACTGATAGAAAAGGGGGCTCTTTTTATTAGGCGCTGTTTTCCAGTAGTGAGATTCACTTGCTTCATTTCTGTATACAAAGACAAAGATGCCAGATAAGTCATGGGAATATACTGTGCTATAAATTGTCACTAAGGTGTATAGCTACCCTACACGAATCACAGAGCTTTGGGAGTCACTGACAAACAGAGCATTAAAAATACATATCTATCTATCTATCTATCTATCTATCTATCTATCTATCTATCTATCTACCTACCTACCTATCTATCTATCATGTCATAAACGTGCTATTCAGGGAGGATGGCTTCATTGCTTGATCCATCCTCAGACAAAAGAATGCTAACATCATATGCTGCTCAGTAGGCAGCATCTATTCCTTTCTATACAATAAATGGGTTAAAGTGACATTAAACTAGAAGAGTTCTAAACTTAGAAAAATTAAGAGTACTAGAAAGAGAAAGAAATTATAAGACTGAATATTTTAGATGCTTATTAAGTGGAAACTATGTGTTGATTTATCAAAAATATTTGGAAATGATTTTAAAAAATACATTACCATTATAAAACATGTACAGTTCACAGAATTTCAAACATCTGTACATAGCTTGCCTTCTCTTTAAATTGTATACCTAAACCAAAACAGAAAACCTAGCTAGACTCAATACATACTAGCAATGAAGGACTAATTAATTAAAGGTATTTTCTTCTTTCATCTATGCCTCAACAGTGGCAGTACTTACCAAGTCCATTTCTACATTCCCACAAATATGTAAATGTGAGATTCTAGTCCAGAGTTATCTAATTGGCATTATTCCATTACAAAATAAAGGGATTCACCTGTCAGGCAAATGTTGTATAAAGTATGTTCTGCCCTGTCTGTATTCTCCTAGACTCTTACACATTGGCGTTGCCACTGTGCGGGGAAAAGCAAGAGCTCAGCTCACACAGTGGAAACTGTGTTGTCTTCCTCTGAGTTCACTTTTCACCCTTTTTTAGAGAGAACCTGAATTAGCTTATGGCAGAAAAGGGACTAATTTTGCAAATGCTATATATGAACTGCTATCAGCTATACTTCAGAAACAGTGTCATTATACTGAGGGTTAGGGAACGTGAGTTATTACATGTGACTCCTAGATGATTAAAAAAAAAAGTTTTAATAAACTGCACTGTCTGAAAGAAAATTTCCCCAAAATACAGTTTACTAAAAAATATTCTCCCAGAAACATGTAGCTTACTTAATTATCTGCTTCGACAAACCTCATCTCCTACATGAGTCTGTGCATATCGTTATGTCTCAGTATGGCTTCAGAACTGGCCCACGTACACCAACTAAAATGCCTACCAGACACCTTTTGTCTAGACTGCAGGAGAAAGATAAATGTCAGGGTCCTTTAAAGGCAGACGGCCTATTTATCCAATGTCAAGTTGCCCTCGCTGGTTTGGCTCAGTGGATAGAGCATCGCCCTGCAGACTGAAGGGTCCCGGGTTCAATTCTAGTTCAGAACACATACTCGGGTTGTGGGCTTGATCCCAACTAGGAGGCATGCAAGGAGGCAGCTGATACCTGATTCTCTCATCATTGATGTTTCTATCTCTCTCTCCCTACCTCTCCCTTCCTCTCTGAAATCAATAAAAATATTTTTTTAAAGTTATAGTGAGTCAAGAATAAGAATCTAATGCTTCTAACTCTTGATAAAAAAAAAAAAAAAAAAAAGCTTTGGAAGATAATAATCATTAGAGATTTGGTTGCATCAACCTCTTACTGGACAATCCCCTGTACCGTTTCTGGGCCTTGGCTCATCCAAGGAAATCTAAGGCTTCAGCACCCCACCCTAAAGAAACACACCACTAATTGTCATAAAGACACTACTCACAGAAACTGGGAAGAACAGTGAGAGGGTTGAGCTGTGAAGTAACCAAAATGCACTTTTATTAAAGAAGCTTCTGCAACCAGGTCCTGTTTGCCTCTAAGCAGCAAAGAACTGGGACTATAGCAGTTTGAAAGTGAAGGGACTGAACATAACAGGGTTTTTAAGGGGGAGTACCCATAAATCAGGAGTGAAATTCCAAGTGCAGCTGATTTCCAGATTAGCTGGTTAGTCTGTGAAAGAGCCCATGAAATCAGAAAAGGGCAGAAGGCAATGTTCGCTAAAGAAATAGTTTTCCCGCAAAGACACCCAGAGGTGGATCATTCATCTGATCTTCAGTCTTAAAACGATCACAGACTTTGTCACTTCATCTCTCAGAGTGGTCTTTAAAATAAAAAGGTCCGTCTCTATTTCAAAAGACTGATGGGATCATGAGGAAAACAATAGCTTAGTGTGTTTGTGTTCCTGAGAAGAGAAGCATTACATTAGTCTCTAGAAGCATATCAATACTCCTTTATAAAAAAAAACACAGGGTTGCTCAAGAAGATTTTAAATCTTGAATTGTTATAGAGGTACTTGTATGTATTACAAAAAGGATTTACTTCACTGTTTACAAATGTATCAAACTGATCCTTGATACATTTTCAGAACCGTAGATTTTACCACATCAGTATTCTAAAACCACGCAACTTTAAGAAAAAAAGCAACATACCTGCAAAGTCTATCTTGTAGCTGAATTTGGAAGTAGTAAAAGAAATGGAGCCACAAGGATTTGTTTTGAAGCTTTGTTCGATATCTTCACTGCTAACTGAACACTGAATGTTGGTATCCGGCTTTAAGACAAACCAGAAAGTTTCAATTACAGCTGTTCACCTTAATGGCTTGGCCACAGACATGGTACTGTGGTCACAGAGACAGAGAATGGTGAAACAAGGGAAACTTAACTAATCACCGGTTCTAGGCCCCTAAACACCGGGAAAAAATCACAGCTAAGCCAGGATGTTAAAAATAGTTTAAGGATTTCCAGCAAAGAAACTTAAAAAACTGGGTAAGCCTTATCCAAAATAATTACAATTTTCATAAATTATGACAATAATTATACTTCCTAAGTGGCTCAAAAATTAAATCTTCTTTAAATGGCTTTGCAAGTTTAAAAAGACCACAAGCTTTAATCACTATCTTAACCATTTAACTAGCTGTGTGATTCTGGACAAAAATACATTAACTTTCTGAGCTTCACTTTGCCTGTAAGACTGAGTGTTAACCTCTGCTTCTGAGTTGTTATGAGGATAAAGGAGAAAACATAGGTACAACACCTAACATAATACTTGGTGTACAGAAGTTGTTTAATATGGGCTGTTCTCTTTCCTTCTCTTTGTTCACCAAATAAACCTGGAGTTGCTCATATGTGCTGATATCATGCAACTCTTAATAACAACTGCCTTCAGTAAACACACACTGTTTCTTCTAAATAAATTGTGTGAAAACCTGGGGAAATGAAAAGGAAAGGAACTAGAAGAATTTCTAATTTTTCTTTCAATTAAGCTATCGGATATCCTTAGAGTTTTATTTCTTTCAGGTTTGCTTATACCCATCTTCTCCGTCAGCAAGAGGATGCTAAGTGAATCTAAATCCATTCTGCTACATCCAAGGAAAGAGATACCTGAAACATGTGCCACTTTCCACATTCTGCCAAGTAAAACCAGCCCCACTGGGTATCTGATGTGTCCATCTCGTCCATCTCACCACCTGTTGTTTTGGGTAGGAATTCTTCGGCTTTATGAAACATCTCCTGAAAAGGCAGAAAGAGGTAGAGAAAGAAATATTTTTTTTCTGATAACCAACATACTTTTTGCATGTAATTTTTCTTCTTACAAATAACTATATTCCAAGTGTCTTTCCCCCAGTGACACTTCAAAAGTAGTATTCTATGCTGTATATTAGCTCTGAAGAGGAACATTTTAAAATATTGAATATCACTTAGGTAGGATATATCCATGCCCATTCAACCATTTAAGTAAGCTGGATCAAATCTATTAGCATTCCAGAGCCAGTGTAGTGTCAAAAAATTTGTTTGATCATACATTTTTTCATGTATTTGGTCAAAAGGATGCATGGTATCACAACTAATTGAGACCAAATACATCTGATTTTTGTTTTAAACACTCATTATTTCATTTAATGGCATGGAAAGATGCTTATAATATACTAGAGGCCCTGTGCACAAAATTTGTGCACGGTGGGGTGTGTCCCTCAGCCCAGCCATCACCCTCTCCAATCTGGGACCCCTCAAGGGATGTCTGACTGCTTATTTAGGCCTGACCCAGGTAGGTCGGGCCTAAATGGGCAGTCAGACATCCCTCTCACAATTCAGGATTGCTGGCTCCCAATTGCTCGCATGCCTGCCTTCCTGATTTCCCCTAGCTGCTTCTGCCTGCCAGCCTAATTACCCCCTAACTACTCCCATGCCAGCCTGTTCCCCTGCCAGCCTGTTTGCCCCCAACTTCCCTCCTCTGCTGGCCTGGTCATCCCTAACTGCCCTCTCCTGCAGGCCTGATCTCCTCCAACTGCCTTCCCTTGAGGCCTGGTCCCTCCCAATTATCCTCCCCTGCTAGCCTGATCATCCACAACTGCCTTCCCTTGCAGACCTGGTCACTCCCAACTTCCTTTCCCTGCTGGCCATCTTGTGTCCATATGGGGGCAGTCATCTTATGTGTTGGAGTGATGGTCAATTTGCTATTATTCTTTTATTAGATAGGATTAGATAGGATAGAGGCCTGCTGCATAGATGGGGCCAGCTGGTTTGCCCTGAAGGGTGTCCCAGATCAGGATGATGGTTCCCTTGGGGTTTGGGGCAGCCTGGGCAAGGGGCCAGTGGTAGTTTTCAGACTGGCCACACTCACCTCCCCCCTATCCAGTGACCCAAGTGGAGGCCCTGGTATCTTAGATTTATTTATCTTTTATAATTGAAACTTTGTAGCCTTCTGTGGAGTCAAGCCTCCTGCTCGCTCCGTGGCCACAATCATTTTTGTTGGGATTTATTCATCTTCTATAATTGAAGCTTTGTAGCCTTAAACAGAGGCCAAGGCAGGCCAGAGCTATGGAAACTTGGCTTCTTCTATCACCAGGACAACTCAAGCCTCCTGCTCTTGTCAGCTCTGTGGCTGCCACCATTTTTGTTGGGATTTATTTATCTTCTATAATTGAAACTTTGTAGCCTTAAGTGGAGGCCAAGGGAGGCCAGGCAGGCAGAAAAATTGGCTTCCTCTATTGGTGGGGAAACCCAAGCCTCTTGCTTTCTCTGTGGCCACAGCCATCTTGGTTGGATTAATTTGCATACTTGCTCCTGATTGGCTGGTGGGTATGGCTTGTGGGTGTAGCGGAGGTATGGTAAATTTGCCTTATTAGATAGGATAGTTTTCAGTACAAAGAAGGTTACAATAAATATAAATAGTATAATCCAATGGAACCTCCATTTGATCCACTAATTCCACATCTAGGATTATATCCCAAAAAATCATAAACACGGATCAGAAAGGATATATGCACCCCTTTGTTCATAGAAGCACAATTTACATTAGCTAAGACTTGGAACAGACTAAGTAGGTAACCATCAGCAGATGAGTGGATTAAAAAACTGTGGTACATCTACACAATGGAATACTATGCTGCTATATAAAAGAAGGAATTCTTACCATTTGCAACAGCATGAATAGAAGTGGAGAGCATTATGCTAAGCTAAATAAGCCAGTCAGAAAAAGATAACTATCACATGATCTCATCATTTATGAAATATAATGAACAACATAAACTGAAGTGCCAAAATAGAACCAGAGTCACAGAAGCATTGAAGAGACTGTCCAACATATGAGGGAAGGCAGGGGGGTTTGAGAGTAAGAGATCAACCAAAGGATTTGTATGCATGCATATGAACATAACTAATGGATAGAGACAGAAGGGGAGTGAGGGCATGTGCTGGGGGTTGGGGGTGACCAGGGAAAGGTCAATGGGGAAAAAAGGAGACTTATGTAATACTTTAAATAATAAATAATTTTTTAAAAATAGTATAATCCAATTTTAATAAAAAATTCATCTATATTTACCCACATGAGTGCGCATATATATATATATATATATATATATATATACACATACACATACATACAAAGTCTGGCTGTATATACAAAAATTTATGTTATATTTTTCTGAGTGTTAAGATAATACTACTACTACTAATAAGCCTTATATGGTAGCTCTTACTACTTGGCAAGCACTGTTCTAAGTACTGTACAGATAATAACTCCTTTAGGCCTCACAACAATCCTGTAAGATAGGTACTATTATCCCAAATTTATAAATGAGAAAACTGAAGCATAGAGAGGTCATACAAAAAGGAAGCCGGGTTTCAAACCCAGGCAGTCTTGATCCAAGGTATTAACCATCATGACAAACTGCCTTATAATTAATTATCAATGATTTTATAACCTTAACTATATCAACTAACTCATATACACATTATCTTTGAAAAGTTTTCAACATTCTTGACTGGAGGTTGTGAAAAAGAGAAAGTCATCAGAAAAGGGGCAAAGAAATTAGTCAAAAATGATAAAACTTTAACTGGAATGTTGCTTTCTGTCCTCATTTTTTAAAAGGATTTTTAAAATTACTATTTTAAATGTATTCAATTTATATATATGAAAACATGCTTCACAAAATAATCCTAAAGACTTTTTTGACCATCATTTCCATACTTCCATTCCTGACACCTTCTCACCTTCCTTCTCCAGGGTTAAGCAATGCTATAAACTTACTATTTATCTTTCAGATCTCTCCCCACCCCCTTCTCTCTCTATCTTTCCCTCCCTCTGTATGTATGTATGAGATTATATGCATACATAAAAACATATATAATTATTTATTTTAAAATGTTTATTTCTTATTTATTTATTTATTTATTTATTTATTTTACAAAGAATATGTACTACTGGAGTAATTTTGAAAATACTTGTTTTTAATATCATTATTTTAAATGTCCATCCTGTTTCCAGTAGCTGTGTAACCTAGGATTAGATTCCGTTACCTCCTCTAGGCCACAGTTTCTTCTTCACAAAATGGAGATTAAAGGGTTCTTACCCACTGAGTTGTTGTTAGAAAGTAATGTTGTTAGAAAATAATGCCTTAAAGTACCAGGTACAGTAGCTGAACTCTATGAAGGGGACTTGTTACTTTTTATTCATGTTTTTTTTTAATATATTTTATTTATTTTTTACAGAGAGAAAGAGAGAAGGATAGGTAGAAACATCGATGAGAGAGAAACATCGATCAGTTGCCTCCTGCACACCCCCAATTGGGAATGTGCCTGCAACCAAGGTACATGCCCTTGACCAGAATCGAACCTGGGACCCTTCAGTACACAAGCTGACACTCTATCCACTGAGCCAAACCAGTTATGGCTATTTATGTTTTTTAATCTCTCTCCAAAGAATGCTTTATACTTATTTTCTGGATTTTTCCTACGTGTTTTAATGTTGATTGGCTCCTAAGAAATGAAAAATAGCTCTGGCCAGTGTGGCTCGGTTGCATGTCATCCCATGCACTGAGAGTCGCTGGTTTGACTCCTGGTCAGGGTACATGCCTGGTTTTTGGCTCGATCCCAGGTATGGGGTGTGCAGGAGGCAGCCGATTGATGTTTCTTTCTCTCATCAGTGTTTTTCTCTTTCTCCCTTTTCCTTCCCCTCTCTCTAAAATCAATAATAAAAATAACATGTTAAAAAAAAAATAGGACACCTTAGGATCAAGTGCTCATTTGTGGAATATAATAAACAACATAAACTGATGAACAAAAATAGATCCAGAGACAGAGAAGCATCAGACAGACTGTAAAACTTCAGAGGGAGTTAAGGGAGGGAGAAGGGGTTAGAGATCAACTAAAGGACTTGTATGTATACATATAAGCATAACCAATGGACACAGACACTAGGAGGGTGAGGGCATGTGCTGGGGGTAAAGGTGGCTGGGGAGAGGTCAATGGGGTAATACTACTAGTGGCCCAGTGCACGAAATTCATGCACATTAAAAGGGATTAGAGGAAATATTTTAATATTGCTATTTGCCCTTTATAATGGAAGTGTCATAGATGAAAGAAAATTAATAAAATGTATATGAAAATCTTCCTCCTGTCAGAGTCTGGGGTGCGCCGTGAGACCCAGAGTCAAGTCCCCACCCACCTGCACATGTCTCCAAATCGTGCGAGACCCAGACCCAGCTGGTCCCACCCCCACTGGGCGAGATCCAGACGTGGCCAAGCACAGTCTCAGGTCCCCCTCCCCAGCCTGGTGCCATGCAGCCTCAGGTCCCTACTCATTGATCGTTATGGGAACCTTGCCTTTGCTGTGGGTGCAGCCATCTTATGACAGCATGAGGGTAAATTTGCATATTAACTATTATATAGAATATGTAATACTTTAAATAATAAAGAATTTCTTAAATAAAAGAAAAGCAAGCCCTAGCTGGTTAGGCTCAATGGAGAGAGCACTGGCCTGAGGACTGAAGGGTCCCAAGTTCAATTCCGGCCAAGGGCATATGCTTGGGGTTACGGGCTCGATCCTCAGTAGTAGGTGTGCAAGAGGCAGTCGATCAATAATTCTCTCTGATCATTGATGTTTCTAACTCTCTCCCTCTCTCTTCCTCTCTAAAATCAATAAAAATATATTTTTTAAAAAGAAAAACAAATTTGGAGGGTTTATACTTGCTGATTTCAAAACTTAATTCAAAGTTACAGTAAACAAAAGG